AATTTGTATTGAAAAATGTAGACATTATTTATTTCTTATTATTTCAATAAAAATTGTATAATCTATACATTATTCTAGTATAGACAATTAGTGTGCTTATTGTTTTACAGCCTACAGGGTTGAAAAAATTTAAACAAACTAGTTTTTCTAGAATTGATACACAGATTATCATTTGGTTGTTTTTGATTGACTTTTATAAATTAGTGCCTTTAAAGGGTATGTATTACCCATGACTCAGGTTTACTAAATGATAGGGAAGTAATTTCATAAGCCTCAAAGTAAATAATCTATACATATTTATGAACCAGCTTGAATCTAATCTAATTATCAGGACTAGGATTTGTATGCAATAAAACATTGTAAAATATACATTTTGTTTACAAAAATATACATTTGAATTGTTATAAGAAAATATGTATTTATTGAAATACATTAGTGATTGGCTGTTTGTCTTAATATAATATTAATGAAAAAATAAAATAATTTGGAAATAAAATTTATAATTCACATTCAATAGTGGAAATACGTGTTACATGCTACGACAACATATTTTTTTAAATTTTTGAATATAAAATATCAGCGATTGGATCGTAGTATTGATTTATACTGACTGAAGCTCCGTTCAATGTCACATGATGTAGTTAGCGCATATTTAAATAAAGAAATTTGTCCTAGTGTTAAATTACAACTGAAATTGTTCTCGTCCGATTTGCCATTTAATATTTTATTTATTGATTGTAGAGTTTCAAATCCTTTATATTTTTGTTATACCAGAGATTTTGTTTTTAACTTTATCTGCGACTTTTCCATTACACTCAAGAAGTCGATTCATAACAATTTTTTTTATTATCTGTAGACTCTCATGAAGTCTCTCCGTCAAACTATTCAATCTTTTATCACATTCCTATTGTACTATAGAATCGTATTTATAAAAATAAAATTTGTTTGACAAAAAAGTTTTATATTTTAATCAGCAGGGCTAGAATTAAATCGAAATATAAATATTAAATTATAAACATTAATTACGAAATATACTGTGAATCATGTAGTTTTCGCATTCTTATAATCGAAATATGCAACAATATTCGTTTTATTTAATATATTT